TCGTTCACATCGTTAAAGTGGCGTCTTCGAAGCGTCATAAACCGTTCTCGTTAATTACGAATAATATGATTACGCGATTCTTCCCATGGTTTCCCTTTTGTGAGAAGACCCCGAAGAGGGAATCCGCGGCAGCGATTCGCACAGAGCCAGAAGCGCGAGAATGAAATTCCGACGGTTCGAACTTTTAACACGTGCTTGAATTAACAACAGATTTCGCACATCGATCAAATTAATCGGCCTCGATAAAATCGTAAATATCGACATCGATAATCACTCTAAACGATCTAATTACCCTCTAACTGCTCTCATTAGCTGCGTAAACAACGAATATCCACATACCCGGCAAGAAAGTTCAATAAATTGATAAGAAGAAATCGATGTAAATTTCGAATTCGATCGAATCGTGAAACGGATAGTTCGCAAAATATTTGAACAGCTGTCTCGATCGTAGCACCTACTGTATCCTCGTTATCGTTATCACAGAAAGATGAATAAACAGCTTCACTACGAATCGATCGAAATTAACAGTACGAAAGAAGAAACAAATCGTCGATTAATCTGGATGGTTTATATTATCTCTATAGAGTTGATTAGAGAAAATTCGTCATGCTGATAAAGCTAATCGATTCTTTCAAACTCACCTGATACCTGTCCTCGTAAAAAGTCGATGCGTTCAACAGTGGTCCCACTGAATCATCCTCGGTCCTGTTTCTCTAACAGCTTTTGTATCCTTCCGATGATATGTGTATGCTTGTGTGTTTACTTGGAACAGTGCACAATCCGGAGGGAAGTTTCGCGATACACGGATTGAAGGAGCTGACAGAACCACTGCGATCGCGAGTAATACGATCAGGTACCGTCTGTTTAGACCGACCGAGCGGGTCCGGGCGACTGAACGTGCCTCTCGTTGCGCCTTCACCGACAGCCTCGATTCCTACCTTCTCTTTCTCTTTCTATCCCTCTCCCTCGGCCGGTATCACCCTATCTCTCTGTACGGATAGAAATTGTACGGTGACAATGTGATCTGATGGTGTTTGGGTGACGATCCAAACGTGGTTTGTTGTTAAAAGAAAAATTCGTGGGTAAATGTTTGATCATTTTTACCCTTCTGTAGGTAAACTGAAATTTTCACGGTTGTTTCGAGGTTTGGTCTTCGGAGGGCGGACACTGGGTCACTGGTGACCCAGCTTTTAGAGGTTTCTCTTGTTTCAGTTCAAGACTCTTCGCTTCTTATATTGTGAATATGTTTCTTGTTTTAATTGTAATTTTTATAATTTTAAACGATACAATGTCTGGTAAAGTAAAAAATTTGTGGTCGAGCTTGCGTATTCGGTCATATTTGACCGATCGCGCCATCTGCAGTCCAAAATTCTTATTTTGGAAACGCGTATCGACGTAAAAATGTCCAAAAAATGAGGATTTTACGATACTTTTGTAGAAATAGAAAAAATTTTTAAAGGAAAATATAGAAATGAGTACTCGGTTGACTGCACAAGAAGTCACGTGTTAAATGTGTAAGACGAGTTAACTCGCCAATGATTAGCCAACGCAATAATTTTTTTATCAAGAGTTTATTCAGTTTTAATTATACCGTTACGCCTGTATAGAACGTAAAGTACATATAATTCGCATTTGCAAGAACGAAAAGGAAGTACGTAGTTGGTTATAATTCTTGCTAGAGAGATTCAATTTCTGTTTGAAAGGTGAACACACAGTTAATAGGTTAACGATTTACGTGTAACTTGCTAATGTACATTTAAACGAGTTTTTACTCGAAAATAAACTCGAGGTCTAGGCTGTTTAATCAGGTGCTAAATATCGATCACGTTCTGAATACTAATCGTATAGTTCTTATTGCAACAAGTGTACTTTATTTCGTGCTTGTGTGTATAATTTTTAATTAATCTAAATAGAATCTTGTATTTTGTTTTTAACGAACATGTGTTCTCCTGAATTTTTATCTTCGAAAATTAATCATTTTTGAAAATTTAGGATTTATTTACGTGCAATTATCGTTGTAATTGTACACGACAAATCTGAGTTAATTGCTTATAATAGATGTAGTAAGTATCACATGCTTCCTCTAGTCACGTTCTTTGTCACGATCTAGAATATCATTGTTCTTTCCACTATTTATGTGTCATTGGACAGTTTAAAGTTATGCAGCGATGTTGTATAGGCGTGGAATTGACATTGAACAAGAATAAGAAATTATCCTTATCCAAGTTGTACAGGGAAAGGCGCGTGAGAAAAAATCTGTGACATTTTAAGTATGCAACTAGCTGCATCAGCCACACATTTCAAATTTCACCATTCATTTGTTAAACAATGTTAACAATTGTTAAAATTCGATTTGTCTGCGGTTACTAAAACACAGTTTTTTTTTTTTATACCACGTGAATATATTTTGTAATTCTTAGAAACGTGAATACCGAGGAAACTTTTTTTCACAAATACATTTCTCAGAGAACTAAAGAGAAAAGGATGTTTCTTCTGCGAATATGTACATACGCCTTTATACCCGCTACTTTCCTACTTGTGCTTCATGTAAATGTGGGCACCGACATTGAACAGTTGACATTGAACGCCGGGAAACGGTCATTAAGCTCAATATCAGTATACACGATGATCGACCATGGTGTCACTAACCCCGATAAAACAGTGATTACTCTCACCTCGCTTGAATACAAAACCCTTTGCATTTCTTTTCTAACGCGATAAACGTTTGAACATGCAGGCATGCGCTGAAGCAATGAGATGAATTCAAATGGAAAAGATTCCTATGTGACGGTCGTAAAATAATGCAATAAGAAGATTACGAATGATTACGCCGAGAGGTTATTCCCTTACGCGTTAATGGTCAGATGCTACATGTGATTCAGTTAAATATTAATATTTCTAATCTTTTCTTTCTCCGTAAATTTTTCTCGTAATGCGAATCCACCTTTACGAATTAATCGGTTTCTGGCGACCGTTCGTAAATCGGGAATTCTAACTGATCGTTACGTCACTACATACCGCATGATTCACGGTACAATTTGAAGTAAAAATTCCATTCAAAAAAATTCGTAAAATGAGAACTATCTGTATAATTTTTCTCAAATCGTAACCGTATCGCAACGACGCTAGTATTTATAACCTCAACTGCGATAAATATGTCTGTTGCACGTAGTACGACAAATACACAAGTTCTTTGCATAAGTGTAATATCTAGATATTTCTGCAATTAACCTCAAATCGATCGTTTTTACGAAACGTCACGCTTTCGAAGTGTCACGCATCATCGAGTGATGCAGATGCGTATCGTATACGCGCGAGTGTGTATATACGTATCACTTTATTGGTACTTTCGAGGACACGTGCGTGGTTTAACTGTAAAACGTAATGTTTCGCTGCGAAACGACGAGGCAAACCTCCTCACCGGGCTGTAATTTTCTTTTCGTTCCATTGTTCACCAGCAATAAAAATCGATCGTTACCGAACCTCGTGTTACTGTCTTCGAGTTACAAGTTTTACAAGACCGAGGGATGCCGAGCATATTTCTTTTTTCATCGCTCTTGGACCATATGTAAGTGAGTACATACGTGTCTTTCCTTTTATCAAAACGAGCTGGTGATAATGCACGGTAAAATGCTCACAAATGCTCATGACGCGTGTGGAAACTCTTCCCCATCTCTTCTCTCGCCCCTCCCTCCCTCCTTCGTACCATCCCACACTCTCTTCAAATATTTCTCTCACAATGAATCTGGTATCGCAGCGTTAATGTTGCTCACGTTATTATCAGGCAGCAGCAGTATCAGCTACATCGGATGACTATGGTTTTCACCGTGTATCGTAGTTACGAGAAACACGCGTCTGATAAAACGCTGATATACTATGGCAACTCGCCTAGAGTCTGCTAGATGCATGTACCACGAGCGAAATTGTAAAATGCTGTTAGGTTATAATTTATAATGACGACGTAGAGAAGAGTATCTTATTCAGATATTAGTACCTTGCATCATACGTGAATATTTCCTTCTCACGAGGTAATTATGCATAGGAGATGTAAATGTTGCGATCTGATAAAGCAGAGCTGCGGTTAAGGCATTGATTACAATACGAGAAGATACGCATCTTATCCGGGTTATGCTATTCCGTTATTTGGCAAATGTTCGAGCACGTTCGTTTTATTCTATTCTTTATAATGTATGAAAAAGATTGAGTTCATCGGAGGGAACATTATGCGAAGTTATTGTCATAAATGGAATGGGTTTTGAACGTTCTGCGTCACGTAATTGCATTCCTGTTCATTGTAAGGCGTATGGTAGCGTTAAAAATAGGGTATCTTTTGTATATTTGTGAACGCAAACTTGTATACACTTCCAGGTGGATTGTAATAAAGTGAACCTACTTCGTTATTATTGCCTCCTTGCAATTGTATCGTAAATTATTAGAAATAGTAACGTAACAAACGATCTAAATAAAAGATATAACAATTTCGTTTGACAATTTAGGTTACAGCAGTTACAATTGTTCAGGATGAGTTAAACAAAGTTCAGATAATGGTGACATTTAATTTTTAAATTTCACTTTTTTTTCACGAATAAATTACTCATCTAAATAACTTTTACTCACCACTAAATACCAAAGTTCAAATACCATGTTTCTTACTTGACAAAAACACTCAAGATAGTGACACTTTTTTTAAACTACAAAATATTAAATTACACGAACAGATACAATTTGAATGAGACATTTGATTTTAAATCTTTAATACAATTTGCTTTTAAAAAAAACGGAAAATAAAAACAACGTGTAGAATATTTGCATTGGTTGAATTTTGTGTGGACGGAAAGAGCGAAGGTCATAAAAATTAAGCACACGTAATAAGGGAATTTAAAAGATTCGCGCGACGTTTACGCAAAACTTGGCGTGACGATCGCGAGAAAAACTACCGACTGAGTAAAGTGACCCTCCTTTCTGGGTCGAGTGAGCGTTCTAAACTTCTGCAACACACGGTATGCAATCCGCGTTCCAGGCTCGATGAGTGTTGAGAGGGCCTCGATTGAACTACGGTGGGTTTTTCTGCGAAAACATTAGCGCCGAGATAAATGTATCGCCGAAACAACGAACTAAGTTCGGAACGACAGTGTTACACACAACGTATATAGACGTGTTCTTAATCGTATATAACGCGAGGGCAATAAAAACGGATAATACAGGTGGAACAAAATAACGACGTCTGTAGGGATTGGCCATCTTGGAAAGATATGTCGTATCGGTTAAAACGTCAACAATATAGTGTGTATTGTTCGATACATGCCGCCAGCTTGCTTTAACTACGGTTGACTACACGCCTAATCGGAAGTAAAGGCGACACGGTGGCGTATTTGACACGCGGACGTAATTGTAAAAGAAGCACAGCTTCATCAAATGATGAATCGCACTGACGGATTGGTACAACGACGACGTGTGGTTAATAGCAGTAGTGGCAGTAGTCTGGGCCAGGATGGCTCGAACGATGTTGGCCACAATGATAAACTATCTGGCCATGGCATGGACACGGACTGTTCCATGCAAAAAGATCTAAATTCGAATCCCACGATCGACGACGATTCTGATAAAGAAACAAGATTAACACTTATGGAAGAAGTTCTATTACTTGGCTTGAAGGATAAGGAGGTTTGTTGACATCATCATCTTCAGCTTTACATAGAATTCTTCTAATGTTGCACTTTGCAATATATGTGAATCATTACCTGAGTTTTGAGGTACATGTTCTTTTTCAGGGTTATACTTCATTCTGGAATGACTGCATAAGTTCTGGTTTACGTGGTTGTATTTTGGCAGAACTTGGGTTTCGTGGACGGGTAGAGTTAGAAAAAGCTGGAATGCGCAAAAAGGGATTGTTGGTGAGGAAACTTCTCTTGAAAAATGATGCTCCTACAGGAGATGTATTATTAGATGAAGCTCTAAAACATTTAAAAGAAACTGATCCACCTGAAACTGTTCCTAGTTGGATTGAATACCTAAGTGGTTAGTGTATGCTACTATAGTTTAGAAATATGCCTGTCTAATTACAAATTTTCTATAATGTTTTATATTTATTTAGGAGAAACATGGAATCCACTCAAATTAAGATATCAGTTAAAGAATGTTAGAGAAAGATTAGCAAAAAATCTTGTTGAAAAAGGAGTGTTAACAACAGAAAAACAGAATTTCTTACTCTTTGATATGACAACTCATCCTCTCACTGATAACCTTGCCAAAAGTCGTCTTGTAAAAAAGGTAAATTATTTACCTGTCATTATAGTGTATCTTTTATTTACTTATTATTTTTTGAACTGTGGAAATATCTTATTATATGCACATGCTAAGACATGTGTATATATGTATATTATACGAATAGTTTGCTCCTATTTAAGCTTTAGATATGTAGATTAAAAATTTGTTTTTGTATAATAGACTTTTGTACATCTATATTATTAAGTTCTATATAATTATATACATAATTTACATTTTGCTAGTAATAGTACCATGACAATACTAAATATAGTGCTATAAAAGATATTCTTTTTATCATTTATAGATTCAAGAAGCTGTATTAAGTCGTTGGGTTAATGATGCTGGTCGTATGGATAGGCGAACTCTAGCTTTAGTAATTCTAGCTCATGCAGCTGATGTATTAGAAAATGCATTTGCACCACTTTCCGACGACGATTACGAAGTAGCAATGCGACGAGTACGGACATTATTGGATCTTGACTTTGAAGCTGAAGCTGCTAAACCTAATGCTAATCCAGTCCTTTGGGCTGTATTTGCTGCATTCACTAAGTAACAGTCCTTTCACAAAGTACAAGTGTATAAAGCAAATACTGGGTATTAGTGTGAATACTTGGGACTATCAATTTTGCATGAATTTTAGTTGCAATCTGAAATGGAATAGCTGCAATCATTGTTAATGATCATACAATTCAGACCAAATACCTTGAACCCGACTGTGTAAAGCAGATTTAGAATGTTAGTCATTTCCATTATTGTTATTTAATACATTTGATAGCTGAATTATGAATGTTCATATTTACATATTACAAAAAAATAACAAAATTTAAAGTGTGAATGAGTACTTTGCGTGTGGGGTAGTGCCATGTCAGCTCAGGAACAAAAGTGTGCTGAGTTTTGTCTCATATCTTCTCAGTGTCTATTGTGTCTGCACATGGACTGCAAATACGTTTATAGACACGGTAATTATGTGGCCGGCATTGAATGTCAGATCAAGTGCCACATTTCTGCTAGTTGTCTGAATGTTAAAGAGATGAAAGTAATTCTTTGCACAGTTGTGACAATGACGACGAATTTTTACCGTTTGTTTAAGTCTCCTCTTTATATAAAACTGGTTTACAGTAGGTTTACTTCCAAAAATTGTTTTCGAAGAAGTATTACATTTCTAGCTTCACTAGGTGGCAGTAAAGTACTCAGACGTCAAATATATAATTACTTTGTGAACGTCATTTCTATTACACATTTAAATCTTTCTCAATGTATCGCCATGATCTATCGTTAAGAATAACGCGGGAATACTTCGATGTGGCAAACGAATATCAAAGTTCATATGTTTTCAATTAATACGCGATATGTATGTACGTTTTCGATACATTTTGTTGCTAACTTATCGTGTATATGTTACTATTATTAACATCATACGATGTGATATATGAATAGAAAAGAATACAAAGTGGGGATTGCCTGTTATCATTAGTGAATCTGAATCACTTTTTGAGGACAACAAAGACAAACGACATTGAAAATGAACATGGACTTTTCAAGAACAACTACCGTTATTCTTTTAATAAAATGGAAAAATGTAAGTAATTATCAGTAATATATACCATCATCTGTTAGAAATTTCTGAGTATAGGGTGATCAAGAAATATTTAATCTTTTTTTTTTTGGAGTGCCACATAGTCATGTGAAATAATTTGTTTATTAAGCATATTTCTTTAAATGACAAATATCTTATAGTAAGTTTTGAGTTGTACAAGCACTAAAATACATCGGAAATATTTCAATTTTCTGTACATTTTGTAATGTATAATATATATTTTAAAACAATAAAACCATATACACATGAGACTGCTTAATAATCAATTCAAGATCACATATACTGTAAACACTCAATATTTGTAATATTTTTAGTAGTATTTATTTAACAGTGGCATTTCTGAGTATTTAGTTCACAAATTGTATTTGTGAAAATATATTAACCTTTATAATAAAAGGTGTATTGTTATTTTTAACAACATTTGTAATGATCATATTGATTTCAATTTAAGCTTTATATTATCACTTTTTATTTGAATACTAAATGTTATATTCTAAACACATGTAGAAATTATTTTTAACACTTAAATCAAGAAAAATTAAAGAATTTCAAATATATTTGCATTCTTTACTGCTATATTAGCTGAAAATTCTATATTTTTGGGATTAAAATTCATATTATTATTTTAATTAACTAAATAGCATTAATTTTCTTAGTTTGAAGTACCACATTACATAACTTTTGTTTGATTAATATTTCTTGGAACATCCTGTATCTGTC